ACGTCTCTGGAATCCCTCCTCCTCCTCCTCCTCCACCAGTCTCTGGAATCCCTCCTCCTCCTCCTCCTCCACCAGTCTCTGGAATCCCTCCTCCTCCTCCTCCACCACCAGTCTCTGGAATCCCTCCTCCTCCACCACCATGCTTTGGAGTTCCACCAAGACTTCCAGGAATGGGTCCAAGTGCACCCCCACCTCCTTTGTCAGGATCAGGCCCAGCACCATTTCCAGCACCACCCACAGGAGGTTGGTATGGAGCATATTCTGTAGGTAAGTTAAGTCTTAGGGTTTCATCTGAGTAGATAGAGAACTGTATTTTCCACATAGACTGGGAAACTACAAAAATCTCTAGGCCTGTATGGGACACTATGTCTTCTCCAAAATATTTAGGAAGCAAGAAGTTTCAGGTGTTTGCCAAGCATATTAAGCTGTTAATTTAAATTATTGAGTTTCACCTTTGCAATCACTTCAACAGATCAAAAGTTTGAACTTGCTTATGCTTTTCATTCCCAGATCCTGTTTCAGAAATGCTAGTCATCTCTCCACAGAACTAACAGTTATTAAATTGCATCACTTCCAAAAAAATCTTTGAGTTTGCCAAGTCTTGAATAAAATTCCCGCCTCTACATGTATTAATATGTACTGTGCCAGTGTATGATGCAGTCAGAATTAGACTATAGTTTGCCATCAGTAGGAAGGTGAGACAGCCTTTATGTGCAATAAACCCCATCAGAGCACTACATCTTAATAAAATCTCATTTTCTCCTCAATACTACTGTGTTAAGATGTTTCATCTCAGAAGTACAGAATTCTTGCATTGTATTTTTTACTTTAACTTTGAATTAAAATACTATTTGACTTATTGTTTCTTGCACTCGAGTACAACAGATATTCTTTCCTATAAATTATGTAATATAAAAATCAAACATAAAAAAAACAACAGGTAAATATTTCATGGATCATCTAAATTTGCCTATCGATGTTTCTGACATCTGCTGAGGTCCTGACATTCCTCAACAAGAGCCATTTACTGCTATAATGGTGATTGGAGGCATTTTGACAATCCGTGATATTACTGCCATTGTGCATCAGGTGGTTGGTTTTATTCTACCTTATTCATCTCAGAACCAGGATTCTTAACCACCTGCTTCTGTTGCTTCAGCTGAGCCTTTCCCATCTTTAGATGGTTTTGATCAGCTTTTTTAACCAACTGCTTTTTACTTCTGATTCCTCTCTTCTTGACAAGGATCAAGTAATTCCACCTTCATCTTTTGCTGTATTTGATTACACATGTGTGTGACATTCTCCCTGTTTTCCTTTTCTTGGGCTACCTTTTTCTTCTGACTATCTTCTCTTCCCCCCTTCTTCAGATATTTGTGTTCATGCTGATTCCTTTTTTTCTTACCTTTGTCCTGACCTTCAGATCCAGCATCATCTTGTGATGCTTTTACCATGGCATATGGTCAAGAACTGTCTTGTTTTTCTCCTTTCTTATATCTCTCTTTTCCTTAGTCTGCTTGTCTTCATCTTTTGCTTGCTCAACTTCTTTGCTATATGTCCACACTTCACCAACTTTCAGAAGCCTAACATCACAACTCTGTCAACTTTACAAGAGAAACTTGCACATACCTGTTCTCCAATGTGACTTTGATTTATTCTACCATTGTATCTCAGTTGACTTGGATACTTTGTTTCTGAGATTTACTTAGCTGGGATGCCTTACTTTTTAGAGTTAACCTCTCTGTCTTATCTCAGTGACCTCCATGTTGCACCCTACCTGAAGAGCTTTTTGAAGGAGTTCCTTATACTTTGGAATCTTGAGCTGAGATAGCTCATCAGTAGTTCTCTACCCACTTTGATTTTCTGCATTTCTCTGTTTCATCAGGTTTCTTTTTCTCTAGAATCTCCTAGGGCTAACCCCTCTCTTGCTCTTTGTCTTCTTGCTACCATCTGATGTCCCCCCTCCCTCTCTGAGGATTAATTATCATTAATATTGGCTCCAATCCAGTAAAAGCTTGGCTGGCACAATTGGGAACTCCCTTTGCAGAAGACCATTGGGTTGCACAAATGCTTTCACAGGGTCTTTTCCAGGCCTACCAAGCTTAATCTCCTCTTTCACCTATGTCTGTTTTTTTTATTTCCCCTCTCAGATCCTTTGCATTTTTGGTGCCTGGAGTCTGTGTCTTCTCTAAATACTATAAACGCTGTGGAATAGGTCTTCAATCCTACTCTGCTGTTTTACTATTATCTTTTTTGTCAATTTCAAGAAGACAGGAGATTGGTGACCTATCATAGATCTATCACACTTGAAGCAATTTTTGACATCTCTTGGTTCAAAATAGATGGGTACTTTTTCCCAGAATGTAGATGAAAAAGACTGTATTGGATGCTTTTATCTGTATTCCATTTTGTCTTTCTGTCCATTGCTTCCTTTGGATCTTGTAAAACACAAAAAATTTCATTTGAAAACTCTTCCCTTTGGGCTGACTACATCCCCATATGTTTTCAATCAGTCATGAGGGCTTTTTGCAAGGAGGGATACATTCCTTAGGTTTACAGTTCACTACTGTATGACGATTGGATGAGTAACCACTGCTTCAACTTCCCTTTTCTTTCTGGAGTTGTATTCTTTGCATTTACTGGTCAAGCTCTTCAAATATGTATAGCCTCTCACTCGGTATCTCTTTCACTTATGGATCTTTCTCAGTTTGAATGCAAAGTGGGATTAACCTTCTACTTTACATCTTCAAGACATGCAACTTCTAGCTACCAAGCTCTCATGTCTCATTCTCTTCTTGTGTGAAAGGTTCTGTCTCTTTTGGGGACTCTCTCTTCTCTCAAGTCCCTTGTTCCTTTTGGCTGCACCCATATGCATCCCTTTCACTGGACTCTGGACAGTCAGTGGAGTATGTCCAGAAATCCACTGACTTCTCTTATATCTCTTCTTCCTTCTCTTCACCTTTTATTGATGTTGTGACTCATTTAATCCTACATAATCTGGGCATCCATCTTCCCCCCACCTCTCCTAAACTTACATCTGTTTACTGATGCTTCTTTGCCTGGGTGGGGCAGGAGTCTGGACACCTGTACCATTTCTTGGGTTTGGTTTTCAGTGTAACATTCTCTACAAATTTACATTTTTAAGATGCTGCTACTCTGTCTCATCTGTCTAGTCATCTTGTCATGATCCATTAAGACAATTCCATTGTTGTTTTTTTCACCAACTGACAGAGTGGCACTCTTTCTCAGGACCTCTGTTTCCTTGTTTTAGACTCTCTCTTTTGGGTTCACAACCACCACATTTGGTTGTTGGCTTATCTTGACCCAGGAGCTTTAAACCTGGTGATGGAACTTTTCCTACACAGTGGTCTCTATATCCTCGTTTTTCAGTGGATTTTTTTCCACTTTAGTAGTCCTCTCATCCATGCCTTTGTGACTCCCTTCATCATTAAGCTTCAACTTTTTTGGTCTCTAGTCCCAGACTCTGCATCTCTGGTGATGGATAATCTGAATCAAGATTGATCCAATCTCTCTCTGTATGTCTATCCTCCTCTTCAAATTCTTCTGAAAGTTCAGTCTCTTATTTGAAACATCCCTTGCATAGTTTCTATCATTGTTCTTCTTTGGCCTGTTCAATTGTGATTTCCACTCCTTTGCCTTTTGACATCCCAGAAACCTCTTTCATATTGGAAATCCTTTGTATTTCAGCTTCAGACATTCATGTTTCACCATGCCATCATCTTCACCCATGGCTTTTGTTCAGTCTCTTGCAAGGTGGGCAGGAGTTTCTTGCAGAGTATCCTATTTTCTTGCTCCATCTTATTAGCTATTCACCCTTGCACTTTTATCAATCCAAAGGATTTGTTTACCATTGATGGGCCATTGGACACTTCCTTCCTCCAGGTTGTGTGACTCTTCTCCATCTTACTTACTTTTTTTACTTGGCTTTTCAAGGGCAAATGGCAATGTTTTCTCTTGCTATGGAATTCCTCTTCATCTAGTAATTTATATCAACTTTTACCAGATCAGTTTATTAGCTCATGCAGCTAGTTTATTCCAATATGGATGATGACACTTTAAATCAATTTCATGTCTCCTTCCATCAGATGCATCATCTCAAAATTCTCTTGCTTCTAGCCCATCAACATTCCCTGAATGACATCTTGCAAGCAGAGATGTGGATGATCCCTGAAACCTTAGTGTCACATGCCTTACACCTAATTGTGGTTTCATCTACCTCTTGCTTTTGCCATTCTCCAATCTACAGATAGGATCTACGGAATCAGTTTTTAATTATTTTATTTTGTAGGTGCCATAACTAACTTATTATTTATATTTATTATATATTATGGAGAAAAAAGTGGCTGGTGTTGTATCACAGGGGATACTTCACTCTCCCAAAATTGAGTTGACAATAACAGACAGTATTCAGCCCATATGTTCCTGCTCATTGTCTGCTGTTAAGATAGGGTTTTCCACAAGACTGCTTCAACAATATATATATATATATATGTAAATTATATTACTTTTCAAGCCATACTTCAGGGTTAAAAAAGTCAACAACACCAGATGTGATTCTACCTTTACACCTGGCTAGTACCTGTCATCCATATTTGTGGTAACTGGCTATATTCTGTCAGTGTGGGACCTTGTACTAATGTGGTGATTCCTGTTTAATCTGAACACTTTTGTAACATTGTTCCCCATGCAATTTCCTCTCTCTCATTTTCTTTCCCTTTCCCCTCTTCGGGTCAGTGTAACACCGTTGGTAGGAGACTGAATGATGCACCCCTTGATCGAAAGCTGGGCTGTGACGTTTACCTAGAAGTGCATTACAGATCACCTCATTATATAAACCATTCCTGATGGTTATGCCAGTCGTATTGGTTTTGCATTCTGGATGGGATGTATGTCTGGGATGGTTCCTCCATGCATCTGCTTATCCTGGTAAGCATTTTTACATAAGTGCATCTCTTGTAGTGTAATGCCTGACTTATTACACTAGATTCACTAAACATTTTTTTCTCTTCCAACCACCTCAGACACTGAGATATACTGCCTGATTGAGCATTCTTTACGTTTCACTCACCAGTGTGACACTTTAGCACCATGCAGGAGGTTCTTGACACTACCTTTTTGCTCTACCACTTTAATTGGGTGGGGAAATGCATGAAATGGCTTCAGTCTACTACCAATTGATGCTCCACTAGATCCCCTTCCCTTCCCTAATGGGTGATACATTCCAGGAGTATTACTTTTTGGGAAGGAGC